TTATGCCATGAATGAAACGATGGGTCAACATTAGGAGAGCAAATAGCATAATAAATGATATTAATAACAAAACCACAAGATTATATCCATAGATACGAGGGACCCTTCTATAAAATGCAGAACTCATGTTAAAAACACCAAAAAGCATACAAATGAGAGGATTTTAATTTGACTAAAAGTGTTTATAGGCAGGAGGTACAATTATTTATAATGGAAAAACTTTTCTAGTAAGTTCAAAAATGAACTTAGAATGCCTATTTTCACTGTTGTTTGACAGTATGAGAAATTCTAGCTCTAATCATAAGTGAAGAAAAAGAAATGAATAAATCTTGGCAGTAAGAAGGAAAATCATGTTTTTAATGGATACTAGAATATTTAATACAGAAGTCTAGGCAGTCAGGAAAAAAAATCAATATAATACCTTAAATGCAGTAACAATATAAATTCGCAAAAAACTTCAATTTCCTATATTTTATTTTTTGGGTTTTTTTAAAATTTATTTTAATTTATTTATTTTTTAGGCAATTGGGATTAAGTGACTTGCCCAGAGTCACACAGCTAGTAAGTGTTAAGTGTTTGATCTGAGGCCGGATTTGAACTCAGGTACTTCTGACTTCAGGTCCGGTGCTCTATCCACTGTGCCACCTAGCTGCCCCAATTTTCTATATTTTAACAAAAGCCAGGAAAAAGACAAATTAGGAGAAATATTTAAGTTAGTCACAAAACGCATTAAATGTTGGGGTATTTACCTACCAAGACATATAGGACTCACATAAATGCAGATGTAAAATAATTTTTACTTAAAATGAAGACCTAAATTATTGGAGAGGGAGTCATTGTTCATGACTAATCTAGACAATATTGTAATAATGGTAATACCATGCATGTTAGTTTAGAGACATAATGCTATGACAATCACATTGCTAAAGGAATGCTTTATGGATCACACAAGACAGTGAGGCCACAAAATCAATGTAGAGGAACAAAAGATCAAGAATTATAAGGGTAAAAGAAAAAAAATTATAAGGAGTGGCTTGCTCTTCACTAAGCAAGACAGAAATATATGAGTAGCACTCTAGTCTTGGAGAAACCTTTAAGTGCACAAAAGAACTTCTGGGCAAGTTGGCTGGTTTTTGGGTAGAAAAACAGGTTGAAGCAAGCATTTGATACTATTATTCCCTCAACAAGTCACACAGAATACATTATCTAAAATAAAAAGTCACACCACAAAAAAATGAGAACCATGGATTCACATCTCTCACAACTAAATAGACAATCTGTTTGTAACTAGCCATAGGGGAGAACAACAGTGTCAAATAACAACTAAAAAGAGAGCTACTAAACCATATGTGAGGATCTCTGCAACTGCTTTGTGACTCAGAAAGCTATATATTAACATGATATTTTAAAATATTTCCCACTTGTATTTTAATTTGATGTGTGCTGCACTGGAAAATGTTATGGACCACCAGCCAAGTGTTTTGATACCTCTGGTATAGAGACTATTATAAAAGTCCAAACAGATTAGTTCAGTAGTGTGAAGAAAAAATGTAGCTTAGGATAAGAACTTATGGACCAAAAAAAACACCTTTGCATTAAACATCTGATAAAAATATCATCTAGAGTTTATGGGGAGTTTTTATGCAAATCAATAAGATTTAGAGCCTTTCTCCAGTAGAGAAACGATCAAAGATGAGAAAAGTCTTTCAAAGGAAAAAATACAAATTATTAACAAGCTGAAAAAATGTTCCCATTACCAATAATTAGAGAAATGTAAGTTGACAACTCTCAAAAATCACATCACACTAATTAAATTGATAGATATTATTTTTAAAAATCATCGATTAATCAAATTAATGTAGATAGAATATAGGTAAAAGAGGCAAGGCAATTTATTGGCAGTAAAGTTTTAATTTTCTGCTTGACCCCAGCAGGTAGAACTAGATGTAGTGGATAAAAGGGTCAAAAAGGTAAATAAATTTGAACTAAAGAAAGACTTCCTGATTCTTTGTCCCAGGATCATGCAGCTGTTAAATGTCTGAGGCTTGATTTGAACTCAGGATTTCCTAACACTTGTGTTCTATCCACCATGCCATCATCCTGCCACATTAGTGGAGGTTATCTAACTCTTAACCATTTTAAATATTTATTTTAAAGAAAATAATTGTTCACATGTGGGCTTGAGTAAGGACATTGCCCCTGAGGTCTTTTCCCACCTCTGTTTTTATGTCATTTCTTCCAATCATTTCCAGGGAGAGAAGGAATAGAATTATGCAAGGAAAGTTAAAAAATTATTCACACCCTTTGACCCAGTGTTCTTTCTATTGGGTTTATATCCTAAGAAGGCAATTGATAATAAATATCATTTAAAAGTATTTGTAGTGTTGTTATAATAGCAAAAAGTTGGAAGCGGATATGTGCCCAATGACTGGGAAAAGGCTTAATTAATTAGAATATATGTAAGGTAACAATATTGTGCCATAAATGAATATTAATTCAAAGAAATGTAAAAACTTGTATGAAGTTATTCAGAATGAAGAAACCAGAACCAAAAGAATAATATGCCCAAATTTATAGCTAGATAGAGCTAGACAACTTTTAAATAGCAGAACAACTCAAAAAAATTATAGCATTCATAATAAAATTTGTAATGACATATTAAAGTCCACTCCCTTCCTACCTCTTGAAGTCTTTGATGGGTAACTTGGTTCATGGATACAATGTTGGACTTGGTGGTAGGAAGACCTGCTTTTGAACCCTATTTCAGGAACTCTGTGACCAGGGGAAAGTTACAACCTCTTTAAGCCTGTTTTTTCATCTTTAAAATATAGATAATAACACTGTCAATACCTATAGTACTCTATCTCACAGGGTTGTTGTAATGTTCCAGTTAAATAATGTATGTAAAAAGTTTTCCAGCACTTAAAGTGCTATATGTTTGCTATTATTAATATCCATACTGTTTTGCTTAATAGTTTTCAGGTATTACACATGAGGGGATTGACTTGTGAGTTTAGTGTTTGTAAGATTTGTGGAACAAAGTTATCCATTAAAATTAATAATAATAATAATGATAATCCATTAGCTTAATTCATATATATTTGCAAGAAAATTATTTTCTAGGAACCACATATATTTTCAATTGTTTTTCATACTTTTAATAAGTATTCACGTATACTCTTGAGTTCATCAAACAAGTGTATATTTTTCTGCATTAAAAATCAAAAGGATTGGGGTAAGTGTAGATACTATAAGCCAGCTATTTAGTACCACATTTTCAGATGGACTGAGAAAACTTATAGAATATATTCCCCTTAAAAAGACAAGAAATAAAATTTTCTTTGAAAATTTCTTTGAAAGAAAACTTTTATTTTTTAGGTGGTAAACCACTATTTTTACTTTAGTCTGGAAAATGAATTAGGATTGACTGTTTTCAAATTATAATTTTCTTGCCTTATCTTGAAAAGCCCATAGGGTGAACACAACTTAGGTAGGGGAAATAGTTAATATGATTTGTCCATTCATATTTTTCATTATCCAGTTTCTGTAAAACTTTTTTTGCATTTAAAGAGACTAATTTAACCCTTTAAATACCCAATTTTAAAAAGGAAAAATGTATTACTTTTATTTAGGGTACTGTTGATAAGTCTTTTCACTTCTAAATGTTTGTAGTGACTGAATTAAAAAAACAACAACTTTGCAAACTATTATATTAAGGACTCAAACTGGTGTATCAGTCCTAAATCATATTAGCTTTAAAAAACACTGGTGGTTGGAAAGATTACCTTAGAGACAAACAAACAATTTTAAAATTCTGCTATTTTTAAATTGGCAAATTCTTATCTTTTGTGGTTAGCACGTTTTGAGCGAGAGCTAGAACTTTTGATGACTTCTACCTGCCCTGAAGTTAAGGTCTAACGCTCTCTCCACTGTACCACCTAAGTGCCTCAGCAGCTACAGATAGCATAGGTTTCCGTGTATAAAACCTTAGTAAAAATGGAATCTGTGTTTTAAAAAAAAATAACTGGAGAACTTATGAAAAGAAAAGTTAAGCAAAACATATTTGACCTGTTAGGTTTTTTAAATTATTATCTACCACTTTCTAGTATTTTGTGGTGAGGTTTTTTTTCGTCTTGTGAAAACAGTATTTCTTGGCTCAAGCATATGAAGAAAAACCAACTTAATTGTCTTTGTTTCTTTTTCCTGTTTGTTCTTTGGACAGTACACTTCATCTCTGTATGTAAATTGGATGCACACATAATGAATTACATGAGAAAGCTGCAAACTGAAAACGGAAAGAATAGTTTTGCAGTTCTTTTATTTATCTCGTAGTAAACTTCTGTGGTGGATAAACTCTCACGCTGAATTCTGTATAAGGGCACTCTGAGCACTTTTAACACCATCCCTGTTGACTGCTTAGTTTCTACTTTCTTATCTTCTAACTTTTTTCTAGGGCTCTTCTCTTTTTAGTAAAGGCAACTCTAAACAACCACCAAAACAATGCCTCAGCATACTACAGCATTACTAACCAATGTTAATCTGGCTACTCGTCACATCTCTGTATGACACCTGTGCTCGCTCATGGGGGAGAGAGTTTCTGGAAGATGCAGCAGCAATAACCAAGGCAAATGTTGGGGAGTGTTTGCATGGTTTTAAAGCATGTCTGGGGTGCAGATTTTTGGTTTGTTTTTTTAAAAGATATTTTATATTCTCATAGTTTGGGGTGACCAAAAATGAGTGAAACATTTATAATGTTCACTTATCAGGCATCATGAGAATTTTTCAAGTAGAGACGTCATTATTTAAGGAAATGAGGCTATGGGCCAATGACTTTTTAATATCTTAATACTGAGCCCTGAAAAGTTTTTACATTATTTAATTTATTTTTTAAGTTTGGTTAAGGTTTTTTTGCTTGATTTTTTTTTCTTCAATTTGATTTTCCTTTTTCCATTTTAATTTTGGTTATTTGGGGGCCATTTTTTGATTTTGTTTTTCCAAAGGATGCAGATTCTGATAGCGGGGACGATTCAGACAAGAGGTCCTGTGAGGAGAGCTGGAGGCTGATTACTTCCCTGAGAGAAAAACTACCTCCTAGCAAGTTACAAACCATTGTTAAAAAATGTGGGCTCCCGAGCAGTGGGAAGAAACGAGAGCCAATCAAAATGTACCAGATTCCCCAAAGAAGGCGCCTCAGCAAAGACTCCAAATGGGTCACCATCTCAGACCTCAAGATTCAGGCTGTAAAAGAAATCTGCTATGAGGTTGCCCTCAATGATTTCAGACATAGCCGGCAAGAAATTGAGGCCTTAGCTATTGTTAAAATGAAAGAACTTTGTGCCATGTATGGGAAGAAAGACCCCAATGAGCGAGATTCTTGGAGGGCAGTGGCCAGAGATGTCTGGGACACAGTTGGTGTTGGAGATGAGCGAATTGAGGACGTGATGGCCAATGGGAAAGGAGTCACTGATGTAGATGACCTCAAAGTACACATAGATAAACTGGAGGATATTTTACAAGAAGTAAAAAAACAAAACAACATGAAAGATGAAGAGATCAAAGTATTGAGAAATAAAATGTTAAAAATGGAAAAAGTCTTGCCGCTGATTGGATCACAAGAGCAGAAATCTCAAGGAAACTATAAAAGTAAAGACCCAACCTGTGCTGGTGTCACTCACAAGTCAGAAGCTGAGGAACCTGGAAAAGAAGAGCGCGTTTCACAGTTGATGGATGGGGATCCAGCCTTTAGGCGTGGGCGTCTTCGGTGGATGAGACAAGAACAGATTCGGTTTAAGAATTTGCAACAGCAGGAGATAACTAAGCAGCTTCGCAGACAGAATGTACCACATAGATTTATCCCCCCAGAGAACCGAAAACCTCGATTCCCATTTAAGAGCAATCCCAAACACAGAAACTCTTGGAGTCCAGGAACACATATCATTATAACAGAAGATGAGGTTATAGAGTTAAAAATTCCAAAGGAGGAAGAGGAAAGAAAAGGAAGTGAAGAGAGCCAAGAAAAAATTAGCAGAGCAATGTCTAAGGACCCCCAGTTCACATGGGGTCATCAAGGCAATCGAAGCCAAGATTCCATACAAGTAAGCAAGCAACATCTTAATAATCATCAGCAGCAGCCACCTCCTCAGTTGCGATGGAGAAGTAATTCCCTCAATAATGGCCAGCAGAAAAATGTACGTGCTCAATCTGCATCGTCAGAGTCATTACAGCCATTCAATGGGCACCAGAACCCTGATCTACAAACTTTCCAGCAGAAGCGCCATATTCATCAGCACCGCCAGCCTTACTGTAATTACAACACTGGAGGCCAAATGGAAGGCAGTATGTCCAGTTTCTACCAGAAGCAGACTGACCGACCCAACCACTATAACCAGTTTGTGACACCACCTCGAATGAGAAGACAGTTTTCTGCACCTAATCTCAAAACTGGTAGAGAAACTACAGTGTAACTCACTTGGACAAGCTTGAAATTTTATTGGGAGAAAGAGGGGAATGGTAATTTTGACTTATGATTGAAAAACACTTGAAATGGGTCTACCTTTGTGTTCTGTGGCCACATAGGATTCCTGTTGTGATTTTGATGTTGTATTCCAACAGATATTAACTATTTCTTAATCTTATACCGTACGTAATACACTGGAATTTTAATACATCCCTTTTTGATTGTGTACCATTGATGGGATATTTTTCTGGGATTTTGGAAAAACAGATTCCCTGATTTTTCAGAGTGTTGTTTGTGTGTGTGCCTTTGTGTGTGCCAGAATACTGGATTTAATTACAGGAACTTTTCTGTTTTGATCTAGTGCTACATTTTGAAAGTTAAAGTGGGAGTTTACTGTCCAGAAAGAACTGCCTCTTAAATTTATGCTGACAGTCAAAAAGGGAATATTTATCCAGTGTTGAATGTCAAGTTTCAGAACTGTTAAAAATTGATAAAATGGCATACAACTACATAGTCACAACTTCAGATTTCTGTCCAACTTCCATTCCCCTTCCCCAAATTGGATTTAACTGTCCACAAACCAAAACTTGATTTTGACTCACATGGAAATATTATAGAGCTTTGCATCTTCCACAGAGCTACTCTTTTTTTCCGTGGTTTGCAGGGAAGAGTTGAGTCAATTGTGTTGTAGAATGAGTGAAGAAGGCTGTTTTTCTCCTTCCTAGTTCTGTTAATGTCATTACTTTTATGAAATTTGCCATGACATCAAAGCTTGTATCAGATGGCACAGTAATTGAGAATATGTATATTGTTTGCAGTTTGAATCTTAACCCAATGTGTAATGAACTTTATTTTATGTTTTTACTCCAACTTAAAACTACAATAACAAAATGCCAAGAAAATAAGCTAGTCTTTGGATAGTACTATTTGTAAGAGGATGTGGGGTAGGGTGGGGCAAGGAAATGGTACTGCTTTCATAGACCAGATGATGAAATCATGAAAGTTAGGTTGGTTTGGGTTTGAAAGTATAGATGCAGAATGTGTTCTTTTAGTTGGAAATTGAACAAACCCTACAAGTTTATGCTTTTACAAATCTTACTGAGAAGAGAAAGACTGGCAAAAATCTGTGTTCATATAGATACCTCATTTTTAGTGCATTCTGGTTTCAGATTGTTTCACTCTTTGGAGAATCTGATGGAAAATGAAAATATTTTTGATGGGAAGAGCGTTTTCCTTCCCAATCCTTTGTGCCTTCTCACAATCTAACCTTAGAAACAATGTGAAGAATCAGAGATGCCATAAAGTTCATATTGTTCAGAATTTACAAAACTATACAGCTTAAGGCATCTACTTAACATTCAACCTTCTTAGATGATGAGGCAAATTATAGAGCAGGTAACATTTAAGGAAGCCTTAAGGATTATAATTGTGTTGGGGGGGGTTATTTTGGGGAGGGATATTGTGTGTGCATGCACGTGCGCGCTTGTGTGTGTCTGTGTGTGTGTGTGCTTAGTCATTATTGAAACGCATTACTATTGTGAGATTTGTTTCTTTTCTTCTGAAAAGATGCTTTCTTAATGTGCTAAAACACTCATTTGCTTCATATTAGCTCTTGGATTTTTACCTTCAAAAATAAAAATCAGAATCTTTGGGGGACACATTTGCCTTCAGTGTTTGAACCTAATCTTATTCTTAAACTTTTTGTTGTTAATTGAACATGGGAAGAATCAGTTATAATGCATTCAGTTAAAATGACAATCTCCTGTCTTGCATCACATGAATGTACTTGGTAGACTACCTCAGGTCACTTCTGTGCATTTAGTGTAGGCCCTCTTTGTCTCTTATCATTCTTTTCTTAGGCAGTTGAAACCAACCTGTCCTTTCATATGTTCTCACTCTTCTGCTTCTGCAAAAAACATACATTTTAGAATCTGAAAATGAATTACCCAAGCCTCAACTCTAGAAAGTATTCTTTTTTGCTCTAAACTTTCAATTGGGTAGTTATATGATTTTTATATGTGGTAGCATATTTAACCTATTTCTATGCTACCTTTTCCCTTTAGACAGTGGAAGTAACTTGATAAATTATTAAAATGAGAAAAAGTATATTTGCTTTTACAATTATGGAATATAGTGTGCACAATGGTCTTCCAAAGAATTTCATATATGTTTGTCACATTTGATTATATAGTTGTGCTCACATTGCTATTATTTTTTATTTACCCTGTTGGTCAAAAAAAATCTTCAAAACTCTAAAGTAGCCCTTTAGTGCACAAAATTCAGGGAGAAAATCAACTAAGATTTAGCAGTTGGGGCTGATGTCAATTTTGTCATCTAGGAGCTCATTTCAGAAGAGATACCTGTCTTAGTGAATAGCCTAATTTGAATAAACCTGTATCATTGAATCTCTGGATGAAATTATTAACCCAGTCTCACACTTTGTCAGTTTAACCCAGTTTTATAATTTGAATGGCATGTCTTCTTAAGCCTAAATATTGGAGGAATAGAGAAAATAATCAGAACTTTATATAGTATTATTATGGTCGTGTCAATATCCACTATTATGGTGACTGGACAAAAATGCAACTCTTAATAGTCTTGGAACTAGATGGTGGTAGGACAGTAATGGGAATCTAGGGGAGCTTTGCTAGCTACTGTGACATCACAAACCAAGATGTATTACTAAGAGAGTAAAATAAGGGTAGAAAGCAGCATTAATGATATTTTATGAATTTAAGTTTCAACCAAAGTGTTTTTTTTTCCTTTAAATACTTTTACTACTTACCTGTCCTTAGCAATGTAGGCTTTTATTTTACTAGAAAAGGGATTGGAATTTGTTTATTACATTGAAGTGGCTTGAAGTGACCATACCGTTCATATTTTAGATAAGGGTGATGATGCTGAAATTTTCACACTTATGGGCCTATTGAAACAGGCTCTCAAACTACAAGAAATGATGCATTGCAAACTCCCTGTGGTGAAGTCTGTTAATGGTGATTCGTTCAGTTACCTTAATGAATCACATTCAAGACAGGGACAAGGGAGGTTTCTTCTGTCCTCATCTCCCTTAAGGAAGAAGCCTTCTTAGGAGTGATGCAAACTAGGGAATTTGCCTGATAAAATGAGGGCCTTTTGATAATGGATAATTTTGGTAATGTGTATTTAATGTTGTCATCCCTTATGGATAATAAAATTTGCTTTAGATATTTGTCTTGAACCACTTTAGGATGTGAAATTCATGTTAATTTTTCTTCCCATTTTACTGTAAAAGAAAGTGTTGAATCTTTCTTCCAATAAAAAAGAAAAACTCTGTGGACTTTTCCATTTGTTTCCATGTTTCTTACCCTAAAGGTATCTGAAGACTGTTTGGAGTGCAAGAACTTGCACTCTCTAGAAAAGCAGAGCTAGCTTGTATTGCTACAGAGGTCCTTCAATAAATGATGAAACTCTCTTAGAAGTGGGTGCCTAATCCCCTGTTTGGAATGAGGGGAGAGTGAAATTATGTGTGCTTTGTATGGCCTGACTTGGGAGAGTCTCCATTTTCTCATCTAGAATTAAAAATGAAATCCTATCTGATATTCTGTTGCAAAATTAACTCACTAAATCAATTGGTCCTAGACTTTTCTTTTTCCTTTTAGCAGAAGTCTGCCTTAAAGGCATTCTTAATTAAAAACTGACTAAACACCTTCTCTATAGAATATTATGGTTAAGAAGCATTTTTTCTGGAGCAAAAAGAATGAAGCTATCACTTTTTCATTCATCCTGAGGATTATTTTGTTTTCACATGCTCATGTAGACAGAAGCCAAACTTGATGGATAAATTCTCTTTGCATAGCTTTGTTTTCTTATATTTGAGCCATATTTTAAAACATCATTTTCTGCTTTGGTAGGAATTTGTTTCACTTTTGGCTTTTTCGACCTGTTGATTACAACCTGCCATTGTGAATGAATAATATGTACCTGTATCAGTGAGCAGGTGGGCCGATTTAACCTCCCCACGATCCATCCATAAAGCCGAGATTATTTCACACTTCATCCATTTCCTACTCTCTAAAACCAGGCTAACTCAGTTGCGTAAGCAACCAAGTTATGCCAGTTGCTGAGAAGTCTTAGTCAACAGGAGATGTTTTTCCTTTGAAAAGTGGCAAGATAACTACTGCTCAATGGGATTCAGTCAGAAAGAACCTGCTCTGCCCTTTGGTTTGTCCGTTTTTCATAAGGTAGTTTTCTGTCTAATTTTATTTCTCAGTTCCCCCAAAGTTACTCCGAAGGCACCGATCTGGTACATTTAGAGCAATATCTTTGTAAAGTGTCCATTCAGAGGCTGCCTGCCTGAGCTAGCTTGGGAAAATGGCTTAGAACCTTTCTTTGTGAACACAAACAGCTGTTGGCTAATCGAATCATACTTTAAACTGTATCTTCCACATTTGTTGTCTGTCCTTCACTCTAGATAAGAGATTCTTAACTTCTTTTTATGTCATCAGCCCCCTTAGCAGTCTGGAAAAACCTAAGGATCCCTTCTCAGAACGATATTTGCGGCCTACATTCCTCCTTTAAATTAGTAATTAATGAAAATAAAGATGCAGTTTTGTTCAGGTTCACAGATACTTCTCACCCCCAAATCTATCCACAGACTCAGGTTAAGAATTTGGAGTGAAAAGGATAACAGTACCTCTTCATCATCATCACCATCATCATCATCATCACTAACATTCATATAGCACTTTAAGGTTTGCAAAGTGCTTTACAGAGATCTCATTTGAGGATCATTTGATCTTCACAACCCAGTAAGGTAGATGCTATCATCCACATTTTACAGCTGAGGAGAAGGAGGCTCAAATGAAATGACTTACCCAGGATCACATAGCTAGTCAGTGTCTAAGGCTAAATTTGAACTCAGGTCTTTCTGACTAGGGTCCAGTGCTTTCATCAATCAGTTTGTACTTCCCATTAGTTTCAGATAAAACCAAATGCTAAGGTTTTCACTGCTGTCATGCATAAGCTTTTAGGAAGGGAATATGCTTATCTTTTTCATAAGCTAAGAAAGTAAATTTGTAGGTCATTACCAAACCCTTTTATATTAAAGACAACTTTTCTCCTGTATTTTAGTCCTCTTTGGTTACATTTTAAGTCTCTGCTTCACTGATATGTTGACCAAGGCAGTATGGTAGAGTCCTAAGCTTGGAGTCAGAAATACCTGGGGTTCAACTCTAACCGTTGATCCCTCCTGGGCTGTGACCCTGGGCTAGTCACTTAACTTCTGTGAAATCCCAAACCTCTCCCTAGGGGTTTTCTACCAAGGTGTATGGAAGGTTATCCATCCGCTCTTCTTTTGAGTCATGGAGGCAATTCCCACCCGTGGAGTTTTCTGTAAAGATAAAATCATAGCCCGTTAACTGGAACTTAGTTGGAACGTTTTATAGAAGCCTATCTGTGATAGCTCAACTACTCAGCCGAGGCACCGGGTGTTGCAGAGCATAGAACTGCAGAGTCCGAGTCGGGAAGCCCTAAGTCTGAAGCCAGCTTCAGACAGTCTCTAATTGTGGCACCCTGGGCAAGTCACTGTACCGCTATCTGCTTCCGTTTCCTCATCTGTAAAATGGGGCCAATGATGGCACCTACCTCCCAGGGTTGTTGTGAAGGTCAAATGAGATATCTGTAAAGTGCTTAGTACAGTGCCTGGCACGTAATAGGTGCTATGGATACGCTAGCTATCGTAACTCGACCAAGCTTATTTATTGAAATATATTCTGTACTTGATGAACAAACAGGACAACATCCAGGTGCCCTTCCCTAACTTCAAAGGACCCAATACATCCATTGTAGGTCACAAAACATTTTCAAACACTTTATGTTTTAAAGCATTTTGCCATTGACAAAGCCCCTTCATACGCATTATAGTGTTAGAACTGAACAACAGCATTGTTAGGTGGAATCTGTTTTATCCCTGTTTTATGGTTGCAGGAATTGAACTTTAAAGAACTTGCTCACGATCCCATAGTTAACTAGTGGCAGAGTCAGGCCCCGGACTCGAGTCTTCTAGCTGCCCATTGCTCTTTCTGCTTTATTATACCCCCTGAATTGTCATAAAACAGTTTTTTGCTTGTAAAGCTGCAACCTTACCTCCTGACAACTGATACACTTCACTAACCAAAGAAAAGATATAAGCCTCAGAGAATGTCTGTAACTAGTAGCATGTGCCCAACCCACACCCCCCACACCTCCCTTCTAAAGTTGTTTCCTTTTCTGCTCACCATTGTCATGGGGAGGCCAGTATGAAATAATTTATGAAGTCTGCTTTTAGTGGTGGTCTGCAAAACAGAATATATTTTTGATTCTGAAAAGCCAGCTCCCTTCCCTCCCCCCACAGCCCAACCCTGAAATTCTCTGGGCTTTAAAAGAATCTCCAGTAATGGGCCACACCTAAGAAGCCCAAGAAAACAGGAAAGCTCTGGGCAGTGCTCTTTTGGAATGCTATTGTTACACTTTTTATTTCTTGGGAGGGTCTCTTTTATCTAGCCTTCCTTGTTTTGCTTTTACAAAATGTCATTAGGTTAATGACTGAAGGTAGTGCCTTTTTTTTAGACTACCTCAGTATTTTGAAAATAGATACCTTCTAAAAGGAAATTGGTTAAAATCTGTTCTCAATACTAGAAATGAGGTCAGTTAGCACAAACAAATTCCAGTATTTCTCATTCTGCATACATATTCAACCCATTTATTTTAATGCATAGTTTTTTCAGTAGCTTGTTTTTTATACTTGCTATATATACTACATGGTTGAATGGGAATATATTGTGGTTATGAGAAACACTTAAATTAAGGATATAATTCCCCATCCATTCTAGAAAATTATCTATTCTTTACTCTGAGAGTTAGATGGTAGAACAGGCATTTTTTTAAAAAAATATGTTTTTTTGCTCTTTCTGCCTTTGGCCAAATTTCTTTCTTTCTTTCACTCTGGTTCTACCTAAAAATGAATTTTTAACTTTGCAAATTTGAGTTCCTTTGTGCTTCTTACTGTATTTCACAGAATACTTTACAGTGGAATCTCTTTTAATTCCTTTAAAGTATTTTGAAGAACAGATGATCTTAAAATGTATGATCAGGTAATGTATATCTGGTGCTTAGTAAGCCCTAAAGCACTTGTTGATATCAGCTATTATTAATATTAGTTTTCTAGTGTAAAGAGTCAGCTAGGTAGCACAGTGGATAGAGCCCCAGACCTGGAATCAGGAACACTTGAGTTAAAAATCCAGCTTTAGACATTCACTATCTGTTGATTCTGGGCAAATTACTTGACCGCTGCCTGCCTCAGTTTTCTCATCTGTAAAGTGGGGGTAATAATAACACTGCCCACCTTCCCCGAATTGTTGTGAGGGTAAAATGAGGATGATATTATAAAACCCTTTGCAACCCTTAAAGTACTGTGTAAATGCTAGCTATTATTATTATTCCCGTGTAGTTAATAATATAACCTTTTTCATAATAACTAAATGAATTGTATACATTATTTTATTAGTTCTTAAAATGTTCCTGTGAACATCTAGTTATATGAATTCTATACTCATCCAGAGATATAAGCCATTAGTTGATTGTTCTGTCCTTAAAACATAATAAGCCTTGATGGTTATAACTTTTATTTTCCTCATTAAATGAGGCATGAAATTAAAATTGTTTTAGTAATAAATAAAGAATGGTAGTGTTTTTTCCAGTGCTACTTTATTCTTTGAAAAATATATTACAGTCAGTTTTAGAGCATCTTAGTATTTTAAGGGCACCATTCCTCCCTGCCCATTCTACCAAAGTCTCCCCTGCTACTGCCAGTTCCATTTCCCCAATTTTAAAACAGTCCTTAGTCTTTGAGGAAGCTGAAGGAGACCATATGACATTTCTTTGGAGTTAACACCAGAAGAATACCCTGTGTTGGTTTTTCTTACAGTTTTGCACTTCTTAAGCTTTTTCTCTGCACTTTGCTTTCATCCCCAGTGTCTTTCTGTCTCTTTTTCTTTTTCCTCTCCAGACCTCCCACAACTTCTCTTTTTCTCTGTTCCTATCCTCTAGTTTTCTTTTTCCACCCCATCCCTTCACACACACACACACACACACACACACACACACACACACACACACACACACACACACACACACACTATATACACACACACTCTCTCTCTCCTACATGGTATCTCCTTTCTGTCTCTTCAGGATTATGAAAGTAAATTGCAGGCCCTACAGAAGCAGGTTGAGACCCGCTCGCTTACTGCTGAAACCACTGAGGAGGAAGAGGAAGAAGAAGAAGGTGAGTTCTTTTCTTTTTCT